TTACTGGTTTGTTTTGTTCCAGAGCCAGAGCCAGAGCGTATGGCAATGGCTCTCGTTCTCTTGTACGGGGGCTGGCTGTGAGGTCCACTTGCTCTTTGGCATGGAGGGACAACCCAACCCCTCCAGAGCTGTGGAGAGATGCTGACATTTGGGGCTCCTGTCACTTTACTTGCACTACAGAGATTCATTTTTTTAAGGCAGAATCTAGTCCAAAATAGTGCATCGCCCCTGGCAACAGCTTGTTAATCAAAGGAAGCTACCAGGGCATGAATAGCTCTGGAGTGTATTTGCTTCTACATATAAAGGCATGAGTGTGTCGGGCAGCCAAACTTTTAATTCATCATAGGTTCTTCATGCTTCGCCACGCTCTTCCTACATTGTTTGACTTTCAAAGTCTTTTAAGAAAGCCTGTTAGGCCACAGATTGTTTAGGGCTTTGGAGACCTGAAGCATGAGTCCACTTCCCTTTGGGAGAGCCAGGAGTGAAGCTGATTGCTTTCAGACCAACCGGCTCGCCTGTCTCTCCTCAGGATAGTCGATTGGATATACATTTAAAATTGCCTTAGTCATATTTTTAAATGTCATGGAAAGCAAGAAAATTTCTCGTAAGAAATGTACAGTTGAAATGTCTGTTGAAGGAGAACTCCGGTCAATTTTAACAATTTTAAAACTGACCCGTCAATTTTAGCGATCCTTGATAACTAAGCAACAGTGGAGACTGTCAGCTGTCAGCCGATGACGGTGCTGTGTGGTGTTCCCAACGCATTCTCATCCCAAGGCTTCATATACGACACTTTTGCCAAAGCATAGACATCCAATGCACATGGCACCCTTTAGCGTCAAATGAGATGCTTCGGTTATGGTAGGTTTAGGTATGGGGTAGGGTTAGGGTTAGACCACTAGGAGGCACCTTCTGCCCCATATATATCTGCATCTCATTTGACGCTAAAGGTTGCCATGTGCGTTGGATGTCTATGCGTTGGCAAAAGCGCTGTACCAACCGGCTCGCCTTGGGATGAAAACGGGCTCGGTGTTCTGAGAATATCAGCTCAAATGGATAGTTCATCCGAATCAGATGTTGAACATCATTTACCAATGATCGCGCGCAAACTGGACAATCGACTACTGTGGACTTCGACCAAAAACAGAATACAGGTATGTGAGCTGGCTGAATTAACATCATTTTTATTAATATCTTCATCTACTGTAGTCAGATTGACCGTGGTCACTCTTAAAGCTACACTGTGTGATTTTTACCCCCATCTAGCGGTGAAAAGGTATATGCCCATCCAGTGAATATTAGTTTCTGTTCCTCTCAATTCCGATTTCGTTTTAACTCGGTGGCCAATGTAGTCCAAGATTGACATGGCTTCCAGTTCGACCTCGTCCATGATTGTTAACTCAAACGTAAACGCGAAAGGCGAAGCTTGAATTACGGGTATGTCCCTCTTTGGCTAATGTACTTTCAAGATGGAGGGGCAACACGGCGACCGACAGTAGAACCCCTTACCCGTATGTATTTTCAATGGCATATTATACACTCACGAGAATACTTTATTACTTGAACAAAGTAAATATACATTAATGAGCACATATATTTTTGAAAGAACTAAGTGTTTTTAGCCAAGAATAAACTAAAAGAGTTACACAGTGTAGCTTTAATAACACCATTCACATGGCTGTGCACTTATAATAACAAATCAACGATGTTAAGAGGCTAAAAGCAGGTTTAGAACTTGCCCCGTTGAAGTCAACAGGGTGCTAATTTTAAAAAGAGTATAACACGGTTTAGGCAAAACCGATTTTTGTTGTTTTTGTCTGTACTGACAGCACTCAAAATGTACAAAGAAATTAGCTCAATGTTAAAATTTACCGGAGTTCTCCTTTAATGACAGGTTTTAAAAATTAGTCAATGATTTTAATTAATTTCATAATTTATCTTTGGTAAAAAAACCTCATTGCTTGGCTACTCTTTTCTTGGCTAATCTTTTCCTGTCAGCCTCTGTAACTTCTGTTGGTTGCAGTTCGCAACCTCATTATACATGGTATAATACATTGTTTGTGGGATATTTTGAGCTAAAAAAAAATCACCAACACATTCTAGGGACACTTTATAATTATAATACATCTTGTAAAAAGTGCCCCCCCCCCCCCCCTTTAAAATTAAATTAACAGGATATCTTTGACAAAAGATAAAAAAGTGCCACAAGTTATATATTTATTTATATAGATGTGGATATAATAATTGTGAATAAAGTGTATTATATTATAATTGTGAATAAAGTGTATTATATCAAAGTATTTCCAAAAACGTTGAAATTGAAACTGTAACAATTTCAATGCTGGTGACATAATTTCCTGCAATGACAGTTTTTGTGATGTAAGATTGTAGCAATACAGTTATTTGACCATATAACATTTTAATTTCCTTATTAATTTTATTTCCACTTATTAATTTTGTTAATAAACAATCTTAAAATAAGTTTCTGGAAATTCATTTTAAGTTGAACTAACGCTCACACATCACGGAGGTGCAAAGAAATTTGACAAATTGAACAGATTCCCAACGCAAACACTCAAAACAGTAAACGAAATTATGTATGTAAATAACATACATAAATTAACAGTGAATAAATTATTAACAGTAAATAAATTATGTTTGGGCATAAATCTTGTTTCTAAATCTTGTTGATTTAGAAGAAAAGAGACAGAACACCCATCTTTTTTTGCATAATAATCTGTGGTTTATTTAGCAGTAATTCAGCCAATGAAGCTCCATATGTCACTCCCATCACAGTCCTCTGGCTTTAACAGATGATAGCTGTCCATTTGGAAGATCAAAAAGGAAGTGATGTGTGTCCTCATCATGTCATGTCCTAAAAAAAGCATCTTAAGTGCAAAACCCTTCATGTCTAGTCAAGGCAAGCATATTGTTCATTGTAACTGTAGGGAACTTAGAATACATTTTTAAAGTAAATCTTGTGCAATTGCATTTGTCAAGGAAAACTAGTTTCATAGTTCAAAATCCTTGACAGTTCACAGTCACAGAATGCCATTAAATATTGCTCCATTCCATAAAATATGTCAGTCTTCAGACTGCATTACGACCAAAAGGAGTAGTGACTCCGCATACCAGAGGGTTGAAAGTCATGCATGAAAATCAGATTCTTGGCATGACGTAGTCATTTTGTTTGAACTTTGTGTGGCAGCCAGCCGAACAGCTTCCTGTATAATTTCTTCCTCTTGATTTTGGCCTTGAACAGGCACTGATTCTCTGGGTGAGCCTGAGACTGAATCTGAGGGATATTCTCAGTCTGAGATTGAATCTGATATATAATCTGATCCTGAGATTCGATCTGAGGCTGAATCTGAGATGTAATCTGTGGCTGAGCCTGAGGCCGAGACTGAATCTGTGATGGCGAATGAGTTTGAATTTGAGACTGAGCCTGGATTCGGCACTGAATCTGAGAAATAATCTGAGGCTGATTTTGAGTCTGACTTTGGGTCATAATGTTGGCATTTAGCTGGTGTAATTTGTGATTCTGAATGAGTAAGGTAAGTAAAGAAAGAGATTCTTCGTATCCTTCTTTCCTCTCTGGGGATTGATGACACAGACTCTGGAAGAGCTCCTTGAATCTTCTTTCCTGTTTCCGGAAGTCATACTCCACACTAGCCCAAAGAGTGAGTAAAAGTGGGGGGGAGAGAGAGAAGAGAAAAGGTAGAGTAATAGAAACGAAAGCATTTCAAGTTACTTCTATTTCTCATAGTTCATGCTTCATAGTTATTTTTCCCTTTGAAATTATTTACATTTACATTATTGGTCAACAGTTTTTTTTTAGTAAAAACAGTAATATTGTGAATTAGGCCTATTATTATAATTTTAAATAACTGTTTTCTACTATAATATGCAATTTTTTTCATGTGATGACAAAGCTGCATTTACAGCATCATTACTCCAGTCCTTTCCTCAGTATCACACGATCTGTTAATATTTTGATGCTCAATATACATTTATTATTATTGTCACTGATGACAACACTTGTGCTGCTTCATAGTTTTTGAGGAAACTGTAACACAAAAAATAAAATAAATAGAATAACAGTTTATTTTATTCCATATACATCACATACTGTACAGATATGTAATGTATATGTAAAAAGTCATATAAAGTCAAATGTGTTTTTTGTCTGTTATTTTCTCTCACTATCCATACATTATTAATAATAAAACTATTGAATATCTTTATATTCTAAGTAGAAAAAAAAATATTGTATCTATGGAAAGAAATATAATTTGAATCTAATCGTATCAAACTGGAAGACACACATGCTTAAAGGGATAGTTCACCCAAAAATGAAAATTTACTCAGTCATCATTTACTCACCCGCTTTTCGTTCCAAGCCTGTATGTCATTCCTTCTTGTGATATTCCTTCACAAAAGAAGATAAGATAAGAACGTTGGGGTCCAACATTGGACCCCATTGACTTTTATAGAAAATAAATAAATAAATTAACATTTGTCAAAATATCTTACTTTGTGTTTCACAGAAGAAAGAAGTCTTACAGGTTTGGAATGACATGAGGGTGAGTAAATTATGACAGGAATTTTGGGGGAACTATAGGTAATACGGTAATTACACAATGTCGTAATTACCGTAATTACAAGATTTTAACTTATAAAAAGCCTTCACGTCCTCATTAATGTGTTGTCATCATAAAATCATGGTACACTGTAAAAACTAATCTATAGAATTTACCCAAAAAATGTGAGGTAACAATTTGCATCGACTTTGGTGGGGTACATTTAATCCATATTAGTGAGTATAAACTATCTGAAGTAAAAAGCTATTAAATACTTGCATAAATTGGGTAACAATTACCTCCATTTATCAACGGCTACTTACTCATTAAAATTAGGTAAAAATTATCTATTCAAATCAAAGCTAATTACTTATTCAGAGAAGGTAAAATGTACCCCCCACAATAAAGACATTCACATGGTTCATCAGATCAATGTTTTTAATCCAAAAATTCATATGAAACACTCAAAATACAGTGCAGCACAATAACTTTACACAACATTTCAAGTAATGAACATGTTAACTCACTGGACTATCAAATGTTGTTTCAATAATGTTGGATAATAAAACATTGCTGTTTTAGGAGGAGGAGAGAGTAGAAAATGAAACTAGAAGCGAGGAGATCAGAGCAGTACTGAAGAAGTCCAATCACATTTTGTTGTATCTAAACTCTGTGATTCCATTACTTGGTTTCCCTCGATCACAATAGACAAATCTGGATCCTCCTCAGCCATGACATTGTGCTTCACAATCACCTTCATGTTTTTGTCTGTGTAGTCCTCACATTCCTACATGTAAAAAACAAACAAAAAGCATGCACATTTTTATTTAATGTAAGTTTCAATTATTTGATGCTGTTTCAATATATTTCAGTTTATCTAAAAGGAGAGCAGAGGGGGAGTGGAATGCAAAAGGAGAAGGTGGATACAAGAAGAGAGGAGGATCCTTTGAGTTAATCAAAAATCTGTTATGAATATGACATACCTGGTAGTAATGGAAAAGATCTTCTTGATTTTCACCAAGGTAGTCTTGTCTTTAATGAGGCAGCAGACAACAGCATCTCATGTTTCTCAATGTTCTGTGTCTGTAGGGAGATACAATTTAGTGATGTTAGAATGTTAGCGAAGTGGGGAGTGATGCATATACTAAGACCGAATTACGGCCCTGCAACAGACTGGCGACCTATCCAGAATGAACACTGCCCCTTCACCTGATAAATGCTGGGTTGGCTCAAAAATCTTGTGACCCGAACGGACAAAGCAGTAAAGAAAATAGATGGATAAGACCGAATTCACACATTGATGTTAAAAGGTTTAAGTTGGTAAGGAGCTCAACTTTGCGCACAACAAATCAATTGTTTACAAATTACTTTAGTTTTAATTCACTCATATCAATAATTACATATTTGTGAAAAAATAAAATTACATACGTCATTTAAAGTGTCCAGCAGAGGACACATCTTGCAACCAGCTACTTCTCCTTTGGCGCGCATTAGCCGCAAAAGACCTCGTGAGTACTCATCAAGCTTCCGTGTGAATGTCTCCTCCAAGGAATATGTTGTGATGCGTCTAAACTCCGCCTTGATCTAGGAAGTTAAATGACCAAAATTTACATTTTAAATTAAAGACCAGCTCTCATAGTATTCACATGAATGTATACTAGTGGTAAGTAAAAATTACAAGAAATTCTCACCTGAGCTTCAGTGAATAATGCTGGCCACTTTAGAATAAACACACCCACAGAGGGGCTGAGGCTGACCACTTCAATTTCTTTGATCCGTTTTCACTTCTGTTGACACTGTAGGCTATCAACTGTAAATTAAAAAAAGAAACATTTCAGTAAACATCCTATTTAAAAAAAAAAAAAACATAAATCTAACAGCTATATATGGCAGGTGCATTCTGAGGGTTAGGTAACATGTTAGCTTAGCACACATCAATACACTACAATTTATGAGATTATAAAACCATGTTTTTGCTCCAAAATTACTTTATAATGCATGTCGATTGCTTTAAATAACCTTCTGTGATCTGACTTGGCTTCGGATAAAAAAAACGGACATAAAATATTGTATTTTATAGTATTCTGGACTATCAAGATTATATCGATTAACATTAACTTACATTATAAATGTAATATATTATGAAGTTATCTGCATGGCTTGAAGAACACAAATAATGCGTCATATATCGTTGCAATCATGTTATCTGCAAGTATTCAGCGATCTTTGGAAACTTTGTTGTGGTTTCAGGTGTCACAGGTTATAAATTATGTGCACACGACACCCGCCGGCTGCCAGTGTGTATTGAAAACACACTACATCCGAGGAGTATCCAGCGCTATGATTACATCGGCCCATTTTGGTGTATTCAATAAATATAATTCCTCTAACGTTATACAGAAATCTGACAGAAACCTATGATAATCAATAAATATTTCTCAGAATCTGCATATTTTTGAGCTGAAAGCACTTGTTTGGTCGAGCTCTGTCATGACGACGACAGAGGTATTTATGAATGGGAGCGGATGAATGACGCACATAATTCATATTAAAAACGCCATCGACTGTTTTTTATTGCATACTCCTGAAATTAATTAATATGGTCACTATAAGTTTCTCAGAAACAGTGGTCAAATACTGAAACCTGAGTCTTATGTTTAATAATGTATAATTTGTCAAGGTAATCACATTAAATCTGATAGTAACTTTGAAATCTGTGCCCAACGGCCGACCGTCGGCTTGATGTGTTCCGCCATGGTGACGCCATCGACAGATTCAAACTTTAATTTCAAGTAATGACATGTTAAACAAACGAAAGCCAAATAAAAGCGAAGTGTAATGTCTCATAATTAAAAATATATATATGCACTCCTATGTTAATAGCTTACCTTCACTTCTGCTGTTCGATGGCAGCCAGAGAGAGGATCCAGCGTCGCCCACACTCACTCAAAAAGAAACCGCGGGCCTACGCATGCGCAATTTAAAGCAAAAAAACTCACGTTTTGGGGGTATATTTTACTCCATTTTTCTATGTGATGATTCTTACTGTTGATGAATGGGTAGCATATGTAGAATTTACCCATTACTTTAGGATTCGTTGGCTGCCTGCAATAATCATGTACATTTTATATGGTTTCCACAGATTATATTTACCACTCGACAAAATCACTTTTTTCAGTGTAATTATGGCGTAACTGCAGCATATCTCTTTAAAATGGTTGGTAGTCTCACTGGGTGCTCTCACCTGTAGACAGCACATGCAGTCTTCTGACAGGTGGAACAGTCACTAAGGTCTTGGCCAGTCTGAAAACATCTCCGACTACATAAACAGAAAACATGCAAGGAAAATGATTTTAAAAAGTTTTGTTTTAGCATGCCTTTGGCCTTGCACTCACATCCATAAATGCATTTAGAGCTCATTTACAGCCCTTATTGACCTACGCTTGGATATAAAAACCAAATGTACATCAAATTAAACCACGACAACCTTCTTTTCCAGCCTCTCCGCTCTGAGAATTTCTCACAATTACCTTTAACACATCCAGCACGCCAGTCACACTTGTCTATTATCTGCTAAATTTTGAATAACTCGGTCTCTCACCCTTTGCTGAATGCGTGACTCATCTCCAGGTCCTGGATGCAGTTGAGAAGAGTTGTGACTCTTTCCTTGTTAGATTGCAGACTCTCCTCTACCATCTCTAGTCTGTGCTTAGGGTCCCGACGACTGCCCCAGTGAGGCGATGCAGGCAGCAACCGGACCGCAGAAGCCGGATGGTCGTGCGCTAGGGAACAGTGTTCATTTGAGACAGACCCAACTGCTTCAGAATGAGTTTCCATTTGTGTTTTTGAGTTCTGGAGATTCCCGCCATTTTGTGAGTGCTGCTTAGGCAAAGTGCCTGAGGGTGTCAGAGGTGAGTTTTGGTTGGAGGCCACATTCAGGCTTCTGTTTTCACTGCCTCCCATTATGTATTTAAAAGTTGGCGCTTGCGGAGGTGCAGAAGAAGGTTTGGGAGGTCGACAGGTATGAGTCACAGAAGGAGGTGGTTTGTTTGGAGGCTGAAGAAAGTGTTGCGAGCCATTGATCATTTGACGTTCGGGTTCTGCTGCCTTCATTTCAGTTTGTTTCTTTGACTCTGTGTCATTCCAAGACTTAAACTCATTCCCATTGAGTGTTTTAGCTTGAGGAAAAGCTCTAGCGGAAGTGATGGCGAGTAATGAGGACTCAAGAGTGTCATTATTAAGCTGATTCAGGACAGAGCGTCTGAACACTGTAGGCTCTGTCTGTCTATGTGGCGTTTTCGAATGAACACACAAAGTGGGCGGGGCTACTTTGACCCCGGGGGTAGTTTGAGAACATTCTTTGGTGTACGTTTGCACCTCCACCTCAGTCTGAGTGGTGGTAAATGCATTTGAGAGGTTCTGATGGTTGATTGTTTGCGTTGTAAGTGTTGCTTTGTGATGAGTTGACATATTCGGGGCATGTGAAAACAAGCGAGTGTCATTTTGGCTCTTTGACTCAAGATAAGGATGTGACAGTGCGTCTTTATGTGCGGATATACCCTGCAGTGATGTTCCACTGGTGTTTATTCGCTGAGTGGATGTGTGGGAAGCTTGCTTGTGCGTGTCGGCGGGCGAAAGAGTGTCGGTGTGTATCGACGCGTGACGTGATTCACCATGAGGCCCTGAGAGTTTATGTGTGTGCGTTGCCAGCGCAAAATGCAAACGTGAATCCGAGGGTGAGGATTCTGACTCTGTGTCAGCACAGATTTGCGTCCCGCTCTGAGGTTTAATGCCGAAATTTGTGTGTGAGCACATTGATGGTTTAGTGTGCATGTCAAACTTGGACTCTAATCCATTAGGGAATTGAACCTGTCTGTGAAGGTTTGAAGCGGTGGGGGATATGACACCTTCATTCACACAACTCTGCACTATAGTTTGGTGTTTAACATTTGAATGTAAATGAAAACAGGTAGGAGATTTAGAAAGTGTACTTGTCTGATTTATTCGCGAGCAATTGCCGTTTTGAGGTTTGGAGATCTGTGGTGTGCTAGTTTGGGGGAATATCTGTTGTTTCAAAGTAGTTTGCAAAGGTTTGATGTGTGTTTTATTTTGTGTCTGGGTAGGCTCTGAGTGTGTGGGTGGAGCTTGGTTTACTTGATTAGAACGTTTCTCATCAGGGTTTAGCTGGTGAGATGATCTAAAGTGGGAGTTTGCATGTGGTATTCTGGTACTTGTCACCTGTGTGGATGATGACTTCTCAGTTGGGCTGTTTTTGTGTGTTTGGGGAGGGTTAAGAGATACAGGTCTGCGGGGACAAGAGTTGTGAGGTTTGTTAGCATTCGAGAGTGTGTTTACGGCCTTTGTCGCAGCTCTATCCTCTTTCATGGTAACAGTGAGCATGTGTGTATTTAGAGCTGATGAACAACCGGTATGATTAATGTGTGTGTCAGCTCTAGATTCCCTATTGACTGCGTGATGATTAGTGAGGTTTGATGCCTCACTCTGCTGAGCAGGCAGCAGAGATAATGGCCATTCCTTGTTTATATTCATGTTGAGATAAGAATGAAGGTTAGGGCTCATGGGGTGCTGCTCTGACTGTGTAACACTGCGGTCGGTGTGCTTTTTTATCTGCGTGTATTTCTGCACGTCACTCCCAGGGTAAAAAGGAGATGAATGTCTTGATTGGAGTCCTAGAGAACCAGCAGAAGTTGGAGGCGAAATCACCCTGGATTGGTTGTGGAGTCCAGGAGATGCTGTATTCTGCCTGCCTCCACAAGTGCTGCAGAAGGTCAAGAGAGGTCTAATTGGAGGTGAATGGAGAGGGACAGTTTTTTTCTGTCCAGTTGTAGACTCTTTCCCATCACTGATGTCGCTGCTGATCCCGCCCATTACCTCAGAGTCAACCACACTCCCGTTGGTGAAGTGACAATTCCGTCTCGGTTTTAGCCTGCTGTTAGCCACACCTCTTAACGGAGGACTGGTTCTGATTGGACGGTTATGGCACTGCACTTCTTCCCTGATGCTTTTACAAATATCCCTCTCCATCCCCTCAAAGGTCACACCCTTTTTTATTTTAGCCTCTAGGCTTCTTCGTTTAATAATGATACTTCTTGTTATTTCTTCCTTTTTACCAGCCTCATTTAGGATGTTGCCATTAGGTGGCATTATCACTGTTTTTTCTGATTGATTTCTACCAGTGTCCCTATGTTTCACACCCAGATGCAGTTGGTTGTTTCTCATTGCAGGTGATGTCTGAACACCGACGTTACAGTGCTGAGTCAGTGTGAGGGCCGCCATGCTACTGGTCCCATTTGCCACGGTCCTCCAGACACGTGTGCCCACAAGGGCGGGCTCTCCGAGAACTGGCACCGGAGTGGTGTGATCAGCTGCCCGTCTACCCATCTCAAGTATAACTGGTCCAGGCAGACTTGAGTAGAAATCAATGCATTTGACCACTATGGTGCACCTGAGGTGGAAGGAGAAAGAGAACTCTTGAAAGTAAAAAAGACTGAAAAAGGCAGACAAAAGGTGAATAGTAATGAATGTTATTTAGACTGCAAAAAAAATACCTGATACATGAGTCATACTTTAAAAAAAAAATAAAAAATAAATAAAAACTGTGCCATTCTTGCTCTAAAAAAGGTAAAAAATAAATAAATAAATAGTCTGTTTTCAGGACAAAAAACAAAAATAATTCTCAGAAACTTCTATTAATTGTACGATTAATGAGATTTTTCTTCTCTTTTGTGTCAACCCAGTTTAATTCAAAATGTTTTGGGGTTGAATGTGAAAAAAAATGTTAGTAATTAACTATATCAAATATTTTATGCTTTTTGCCAAGTATAATATTTATCTGTTAAAAATATTTTTTTTTCCCCATGACATAGAAAGATGTGAAAAACTTGATGAGGACAGTATAAGTATAAACATAAAATAAATAATGTGTTATGATTTCACTGTCTTAAACATAGATATCCATAATAAAGGCAAGATGTCTTACGGCGGAGTCTCTATCGTCATCACCGGCAGCCATCTTGTAACGGGCAAGCTTTCTGGCGGGCTCTGTGGTTCCTGGTGTAAGGTGAGTGATCAGCACTAACACAAATACTCTTATCTCGGTGAAATCTTGACGGATTTAAAAACGGTTTGGTTTGTTACAGACGTTATTAGCGTGGCTATAATTCTGGATGATTATCTATTTATACACTTATAATTTATAAGTATGCAGTGTCATAACTACATCTCTGACGTTTAGAACAAACCAAACCGCTTGAAAATCGGTAGAAAATTAAGCAGTTATGGTTATTTATAGAGCACATGCACCATTAAAACACATTGTTACGAGTGAGCGAGCTGCCTGTGACAATATGGCCGCCAGTTCCGGACGTCGACCTCCATTGACCTCCGCGGTCAAGACATCTTGCCTTTATCATGGATATCTATGGTCTTAAACATGTCAGAAATGTATTAATTATTTTACGAAAAACAATCTATAGTGTAAAATTTCAATGTACTCAGGTTAGTCAAATATATATTTACATAACATTTTTTTATATAAGCCATTTAAATGTAATATGGATGAAAGATGACATAAAATTAAAGTTTTATTTTTATTACATACTTTTCAGAATCTAATCCACCAGATAATGCGATTAAGTTCAGTATTCTGTAAATGACACCATTAGTCAGTCATGGGGACACACATTCATGTAGCACAAATGGCACTGTTTTCTGACAATGACCCACATACAAAAACTGAAAACTATAAACCATCTGCTACTGCCTGCAGTTAGTTTTGAAATGAATACATTATATCAAGACATTAAACAAAATGTACAATTGGTGTGCAATCTATTATGAGGTGTATGATGCACAAAAAACCCTCAAGCTTCATACACTGTATAATAAAATTACAAAATTACAAAGCTTCAGTAACAACAGTGCAGATTTCAGAGCACAAGACCTTAAATAGAATATACAAAAGACCTCCCTGCCTAAACCAGATGAATCCAATTTGAAACAGAAAGCAAAAAGATGAGAGAGAGCAGGGTGAAATCAAAAGAACAGAGTGATATCAAACAGAGAGAGAGAAAGAGAGTGAAAGTGCGCTCTAACACATTCAGATTCCATTACCTCTGTTCTATCTATTCACAAAACTAATACATAGTTTCCAGAAATATAGAGAGACCGTTGTCTGTTTGCTCGGAGTTAAACTGTGTCAACCCGAGTGCGTGTGTGTGTGTGTGTGTGTGACTAATTAAATATTTCACACACTGACAAACGTTTTGTTCTGCCCTGACCTGACTTTCTCTCCTTTCCGCACCTACACCTGGCGCCCCTCCAGCCAGGCTCGGCTGCCCTTTCTCTCTTTCAACCCACCTTGGGCACCTTGATAATTTGGCTGACAAAGAGGGTGTTAATCAGCAACTGACAGTAAATTTTCTAATGAACCACTCTAATAAGTGGCTGTTATAAAAAATGTGTGTGCGTCATTTTGCGTAAATTTAAGGACCAATTGTCCTCAAAAGGAATGTGCGAACTCCACCTATGTGGAGACCAGCTCATGCAGAACGATGCTAAATATCATACGCAATCTAATGTATACTAGTGTAATGTATAATAATGTTTTTTTAATGGATATGTTTTCAAAAACACAAAAAACTGCACTTTGTTGTACATGAATTGCTTCTTGTAGTTGAAAAAAAAATAGTCTGCAGCTCTGCACACTTAATAAAGATACAGACCAAACAGTGTAATATACAGTATATATATAAATATGTGTGTGTGTGTGTGTGTGTGTGTGTGTGTGTGTGACTTTATTTGTTCTATGTTTATATATTTTACACATTTGTTTATAATATTTCATATAAATATTTTTTTCTATTTAATTTATATATATATATATATATATATATATTAAACATTTGCAGTCACTCACTTTTTACACTATCTTTATTCAGTGTGTGGAGACTTAGAATGAATGAAAGAAAGTTTGAAAAATCAGAAGGGTTTGTGAAAGGTTGGCTCAAGGTAAAACGCTACAAAAATGTAAAGTGCTCCATGATAAAAAAACAAACATGTCATGTACGTATGTATGAATGTATGTATTTTCAAAATATATCATCATGACATGAATAAATGGAATCATAGGATTTTGAAGTGTCACAATAAACTATACTGTGACTGTAAGCCAAACCTCGTCACTTTCTGTCAACACTTACTGTTTCGCCATCACATTTCCAGCGAACACACACACACATTCCCTCAGCCCCCAGCCTTGAATGTGCAAACATTTCAGATCATCTTGCTGTTCATTCCCCCTAGAATCTCTCTTTCTTGATGTTCTGTTGTGGATGTCAAGCTGACCCCTCTGGGTGGCACCAGGCTGTGGCACCACACATGTCAACAGCCTGAAGTCAGTCTAGGAAAGATTGTAGTCCGTGAAGCACAAGACTCACAGTCTTTCCTTCAGAAATCACAACAATCACGCAGCCTTTTATTGCAGTGAGAAAAAAAGGGAAATGGGATCATTAAATGTTGCGAGCAGGATTCAAACTAGCTCATGCACTAACCTATGCCACGATGCTGGCGCAACAACTAACCAGTTTTAATCAGTATCAATGTTACATCCTGCAGAAGTCAGATAAAGACCACAGCACAAACAATAGACTTTTATTTTGTACATACACAAGCACCTACCTTCAGTTACATCCTGAGACCCAAACCTCACAGCTTCCTGGCATGTTGCAGGCATTTTTTTTTTTCTGTAGGTTTCAGTATCCACAAGAGGTCTTGTTGTCCAGTAAGTGGGTGCAGTGAAGAGACACTAAGATGACTCAAATCCACACAGAAGCTTGTGTTGAAACAGCACCTGCCTTGACAGTCACTCCTCTAGCTCTCCGCAGACGGTGATCATCCTCCCTCAGAGGCTGTTTGCTTCTCTCCAGAGGCGTATGCTTTTTATTTGTTTTGATTTGCACTCACCTTCACTTGCTGAGGCAGCAAGCACAAAGATGCATTGATCTGTCCTCAGCCTTGCGCACTCTCTCTATTCCTCTGTCTCTTTCTCTCTCTCTCTCTTTCTCTCTCTCTCTCTCTCTCTCACACACACACACTCTCTGAGTCACTCTTCCTGTCTGTCCCTGACCCTCTCTCGCTGTCTCACCCTCTTTCTCATATGCATATCCAGTGCTGGGTCAAAGGCATCCTAAATTCAGCTGAAATTGGGCAGGGTGGGGAGAGAGAGGGAGAGAGAGAGGGAGAGATGTTCTGCATGCCAAGGGGCCGTTTGAAAATTACCAACATAATAGAAACGCAGATTGATGGATGTAGTTAAGGGATGTTTGAATTTTTACATGAGATATCTACTATAAAATAAAATGTAATTTGTTATATTATGATGCATATTTATAGTAAAACTGCTGAAGGGAAATACAAATAAAATAATAAAAATAACTTTTAAAATCAGTGTTATGGGGATGTTCGGATTTAAAGTACAATGCAAGTTCTATTATTTTGAAACTGCAGTAGGAAAGGAAATGCATAAATAACTTTTAAAGTTCATGTTATGGGCTCTATGCACGGCGGTATTTCCGGTGAAGCATTAGGGATGCTCGATAACTTCCGCCGATCGTAGAGTCCAATGCAATACCAAGAATTTATATTGAATTTTATACTCCATGGTTATACTAAAGAAACGTTAGTCACAAAAACAGATAAAACAGACACCCCTCGTTGTGTTTATGCTTCTTTTTAAAATTATATTAAATAAATATAACTATTTATAAAATTACATCTAAACGTATGTACGTTTCATTTCAAAGACTGGAGGACAGTAAATTTTGAAGACTCTGCCATAATCCCGTTTTCCTCGGTTTTCCTCCGCTTTAATCTCCACAACCGGAAATGGACGAGCATCCTTGCGTCAAATGCGGAATTTATGCGTGCATATAGCCCATTGTAAGCATTGTCAGATTTCTACAAATAAGTGTTTATATATTCATTTAAAGGTTTTGTAAGTGAGTTTAAACTAGCCCCAGAATGAAACAATTCCCACTTGACCATCTCAAACATTTGTTTTAAGTTCTCAAAGTAAATGTCAAAAAGGGAAAAAACATTGCTGATGCTATTTTTTAAATCTATCTACAGGTATTATCTAAAATAATGATAATGTTATTTGCTATAAATTGGGGTGACCACTGACAGTCCTGTTTCCCAGGACATGTTCTGTTTTCATGTCCTGTCCTGGCCGTCCTGGCTGTTTTTTATAAAGTGATGAAAATGTCCTGGGAAAGATCAGCTCTACAGCAAAATATAGATGGGCAAACAAGGAAGATGAGGAAGGAAAACAGGATAAAGAGGAAGAAAACTAAAGATTCAAATGTATTTTGCACAGATTTTGCTTATCTCAAACAAGCCTGTAATGTCTTAAATCACATAAACAGTTGGAAAGGCTTAAAGTGACAGCAGCCAAATATACCCACAGCTGTATTTCATGTTAATCAAACAAGAAAAGAAAAAGACAAAATTTCTCTCTGCTCTGAATACTGAAGCCTAAACATATTACAGAAATAAATTATAAAAAAAATAAAATGCCTTAATACTTTTATTTCATAATACAAAACATATTAATGTATTTCTATGAGTTATTAAGAGTATAATAATAATAAAATAATATTATAATTTTATTTTAGCAGATACAGAGGTTTTTAGGGATGTACAATTTAGTTGATGCAAACAAAAGCATGCAAAATCTTTATAGTTACTGACTTTTCCTTGGTACAGAGTCAGATTAATACAGCATGAGTGTAATTGTGAATTTTCCGCGAGCAACCAGTTATTATAGTTATTTATTTAAAATTCAAAACTAATGTGAAACAAAAAGTGAATTTGTCTTCTGTTATAGAATGAACATCCTAAAAGCGTCCATGTTTTGTCAGTGTTCAGTGGTCGATCACTATAATGGGTAAATGAGGAATCCACTGAAAGTGCTGAGGTTTCCTGGACTGTCATAGATGGTGTAACCTGGGAGGAGCTTCATGCAAATGACATCACCCACTTCCAGCTGCAAGACAGCTCCATTTGATGCATATCGGTGCTGATCGTGATACACCTCTTGTCCCACTGACACAATATTCTGCCCATTTTTATATAAATTTGCACCCCTTGACTGGTTTTTTTGAACACCACATATAGTGAATCTGAAGTAGTAGACTCCTTTAACTGGTGCCGTGAAGAAACCTGCCATTGACAACAAAACCGTCAGATCAAATGTAAAATGGGTCTGATGAAAAGGAAAGACATTGGCTATAGCTTAAATTACCTGTAATTGAGTTGTAGTTGTTTCCAATGTTTGTGAAGACATTGTTGAATGCCAGTGTGATCTCAGTAGTCGTGGGACCTATATTGCCACGGATCCCCAAGTCAGCTGAAAATGCTACTTTAGGTTGTTCTGTGGACAGAAAATAATTTCAAGCCCAAATTAAAAACACAAGTTCAGGGTTATATTTATTGTGCATTAAATACTGACTGTAAATACCTTAAATGTTTGAATAAAAAGGAAAATTGTATTAGTTTACCTGAAATTTCTTTCTTTAACGCTTCCAGCTGGGTTTCACTGACCTTCAGGTGTTCATTTAGCCCTAAAATTATTCAAATTCTTAATTCTAGCTGAAAATATGTATTTAATATCACCCCCCCCCACACACACACACACACACACACACACCACATATCAAGCTTCTTGATAAGGCTTTTCAATTTTTTTTGAGTACCTGCATTCTCTTTCTTCAGATCCAGTATTTGTTCTGCCATTTCTAGAAAACATTATGAGTCTATTTATGAATTATTTAATGTTGTTTTGTATTAGTGTTTATTGAATATGCTATTTCAAAGATAAGAAAAAGAAACTACTAACTTGATTTGTCATTCATCGCCATTTTCAACTTGACTCTGAGCTCCACCATCATGTCTCTTATATCTCTCACCTCTTCCCAGATGTTTGGCAGGTTGTTTTCTTCTTGCACATTAGTTTGTCCATCAGTGAGTGACAGACAGCACAGCATCAGCAGAGCAATACTCACCTTCATCCTGATAGTCAGAAGACAGAAACTCTTGGGTTTATGAAAGCAATGCATAAGCTTTTATACTTTGAGGTAGTTAATCATTGCAATTTATTATTGACACAGATTTTTTTGCATCCAATTAAATTGCAGAAAGTAAGAGGAAGGGTAAAGTTCTGTTTCTGTTTTTTAAAAAGAGCTTTTGAGTTTGTAACTTCGTGGCTAAATTCTACTAAGTAAAAGTGTCACGGTGTGGGTTTTGTGTCTTGTTCCTTGTTGTTGTCTGTCGGAAAAATATAGATATAATATTTCTATTTGTTTTCTTTCTATTTAAATTTCACAAAACAAAATTAGACCTATTGGCTGTATCAAAACATAACCCCCCCCCCCCCCCCAAAAAAAAAAAAAAAAAAAAAAAAAAAAACATATATATGGGCTACATCAATACGTCAAGTCAAATATATTTATAAAATGTTTTCACAATATAGATTGCATCAAATCAGCTTCACATACGACTTTAAATGTGTTAAATCCCACACTTACAAGCATTTAACTTGCACTATGCCAGCTTGGTATATCCTTAATAAAATTCTCATTGCATCATTATAAGCTAGCCTACTTGAAAACTCTGTAAGCCTCTGTAAACTAGATTTTTTTCTAACTTGTCCACACATTTGCAGTTTAAAATGGTACTGTATAAACAGTGATGTTGAACAGTGATGTTTAAACAGCAGAGCGAGACTTATTTTCAGAGAGACAAAACATTTTTTTTGATTTTGTTAGGTTTTTTTTTTTTTTTTTTTTTTTTTTTTTGCTTTCTGAATGTTAATCATTACTACTGACTATATTGACTCATGTTCTCATCTGTGTCAATACAAATAAATAATCAAAATGAATCCAAAGTCCAGAAGTTCTGTTCGTTTCTTGAGTTTCTGTCTGGATAAATTCAAATAAATTATGAAATCATTTTAAGTAAAACAATGATCTAGTTTGACATAAGAAACAGAGATTTAGAAATATAACATGAAAATAAAATTAAAAGAACCCTGCAAGTAAACAGGAATAATGGTTTAATGCCACTAGATGTCGCCATTTTACTACGAATGATAGTCAGTCTGTCACTCTTGGGAGCTTGATGATGTCTTGTAATTACTTATGAATAGTATTTGTTTGATTTACACTTGTGATTTGCACTTGTTTTAAATAAAAATTAATTGGGTTAAATGACAACTTGCTTTTGACTTGGAATATAAAATTCCTTAATGCTAACTGTCTTTTAAAATATAATATTAAGTATTACTATTAAGTTATATTAAAATATCTTAATATAAGATATTAATTTAAAACATTTAGTTATGCACTTCAGTGAAATAAATACTTTTTTTATAGAAAGAACATTTTCAGTTATATTTCAGGGTAAAAGCACCTCAGTAAGATTAAAGGGATAGTTCAACACAAAAATACAATTCTGTAATTTTTACTCACCCTCATGTCGTTCCAAAGATTAGTAAGACTTTTGTTATGTCTAAATCTCTTAATTTCTAAATCTCTGCTTCTTATGTTAAACTATATCATTGTTTTACTTAAAATAATTTCATAATTTATTTGAATTTATCCAGACAGAAACTCAAGAAACAAACAGAACTTCTAGACTTTGGATTCATTTTGATTATGTTTTTCTATTGACACATATGAGAAACACGTGTGTCAATATAGTCAATAGTAATGATTAACATTCAGAAAGCAAAAAAAAAAAAAAAAAAAAAAAAAAAAAAAAAAAAACCGAACGCAAAAAAAAAAAAAGTCTTGTCTCTCTGAAAAGAAGTCTCGCTCTGCTGTTTAAACATTAGACATTTGAATTTAGACTTTTATTCACATACAAACATTCATCAACATCCGTTCAATTTTGGTAAACGTAAGCTCAAGCAGGTTCGCTTAACGTGCGAGAACCAATGGGGTTTATTCTCATTTTACGCAGCACATTTGAGCTTCAGCAAGAACCAATGAAGTTTGTTCTCGCACGTCAAACAGGTTCACTGATCCATGTATTTATCTGCCAAATCACGTGAATAAAAGCCTAAATTAAATCTGTTTATTTAAAGCGAGTCTCTTTAGAAAATGTGGACTAAACCACTCAACACAAATTGATAGTTTTACAATCTTTTTACAAGTGGAAGTTACGTAGGCCTAGCTGTCAACCGAGGGACAAAAAGCTCTCAGATTTCATCAAAAATATCGTAATTTTTGTTCCTAAGATCATCGAAAGCCATTTTTGGGTGAACTATCCCTTTAAAGGGTTAGTTCACCCAAAAATGAAAATTAAGTCATTAATTACTCACCCCCATGCTGTACCAACCCCGTAAGACCTTCGTTCGTCTTCGGAACACAAATTAAGATATTTTTGATTAAATTTGAGAGCTGTATAACTACCACATTGGCTCCTAAGGGACTGCCTCTTGACGGCCCAAAAAGTCAATGAAGAAAATGTTTAAATATCCCAAGCGACTACCGTGGCTCAACTATATGTTTATCAAGCGACGCGAATACTTTTTGTGCGAAAAAACAAACAAAAATAACGAGTTTATTCGACTATTTCTTTTCTTCCTTGTAGGCCAGAACGAGACTTCCTTATAGATTTCCACGACGCATGCGCGAGAATTGCGATCTGAAGTAGTGTAAGCTGGTGTGAGCAGATCGCAAATCTCGCGCATGCGTCATGGAAATCTAAGGAATTCTCGTTCTGGCCTACAAGGAAGAAAAGAAATAGTCAAATAAACTCGTTATTTTTGTTTGTTTTTTTCGCACAAAAAGTATTCGCGTCACTTGATAAACATATAGTTGAGCCACGGTAGTCACTTGGGATATTTAAACATTTTCTTCATTGACTTTCTGGGCCGTCAAGAGGCAGTCCCTTAGGAGCCAATGTGGTAGTTATACAGCTCTCAAATTTAATCAAAAATATCTTCATTTGTGTTCCGAAGACGAACGAAGGTCTTACGGGGTTGGTACAGCATGGGGGTGAGTAATTAATGACTTAATTTTCATTTTTGGGTGAACTAACCCTTTAAGCTCTGAAGTCATTCAAACACTAAGCCTGCAGGTTTTAGTTGCAGGCCATTTCATGAAATGGGAATAGCTCTAGGCCACACTGGCCTGTCTCATCCATAGACAGTAAAAGGTCCCATCCCAAGACGTCATATATCTGACGTCTTGGGATGTCTTTTTTGACCATATTTCAACATCCCCCTTTTTAGGGTACCCTTAAACGTTGTTGACGTTATCGGATCCTAAACCTACCCCGTCACCTAACTGACAGTAAAGGTAAAGCGTGAGTTGTATGACGGCTCGGGATCGTCATCTAACCGACGTTTAAGGGTAACCTAAAAAGGCGGATGTTGACGTATGATCAAAAGACGCCCCAAGACGTCAGTTATATGACGTCTTGGGATGAGACTGTGTTAGTTTGGCTATGTTTCATCTATCAAAAGAATTGGAGATTTACATGTCCTGTCAGTTGCTCCCTCATTTCTGGAATTTGCACCTGGTATGGTGAAAGCATTTCTCAACCTTAGACCGGGTTATATTCCTAAGGTTCCAGTTAATATTGGGGGCCCAACAGTGCTGCAGGCCTTTTATCCCCCACCTTTTAACACTCCAGATCAGGAACGACTGAATCTGTTATGTCCCGTTCGGGCATTAGTTGCCTACGTTCACAGAGCTGCCCTGTGGCGTAAGTCTGAACAATTATTTGTCTGCTTTGGGTCACTCAAGAGAGGGTGCCCGACACCTAAATAGGTGATGAGCAAATGGATAGTCGAGGCTATATCATTGGCTAATGAAGCGGCTGGTCAGCCTTCACCTATGATTGTACGGGCCAATTCTACAAGGAGTATGGCGGCCTCTACGGCCTTAATTTCGGGTGTTTACCTTCTTGATATCTGTAATGTGGCAGGATGGTCCTTTCCGCATACATTTGTTAGGTTTTATGACCTTGACCTCTCCACTCCAGGGGCGAGGTTGGTTGCTTCTTAGCCTGCGCAAGGACTTCACACAGAACGGCATTTGTCACTATGGCGAAGCGGGTTCCCTCCGCATCTCAAACGCAGCCCGAAGTTCCCTTGAAAGGTTCCGTCTCAGGTTGCGCATGTAACCCAGGTTCCCTGAGAGGGAACGAGACACTGCGTTTATCTGCTATACTTCCTGCACGACCTGATCGACTTGCTTCAAGTTTTTACAGAAGCTGGCGTGGTCTGAATTCACGGGTGCTTTATAGTTTACTGGTCTATGACGTCACCCATGACGTTTCGGGCTTCCATTGAACTGATTTTACATGTGCTTCATGACGTACTCAGGCAGAGCGTTCCCCACCGCATCTCAAATGCAGCGCCTCGTTCCCTCTCTCAGGGAACCAGGATTACATACGTAACCTGAGATGTTTTGAGGGGTATATTGACGTAAACACAATCGTTATGTCTTAAATGACATAAACAGTTGGAAAGGTCTTAAAGTGACAGCAGCCAAATATACCTACAGCTGTATTTCATGTTAATCAAACAAGAAAAGAAAAAGACAAAATTTCTCTCTGCTCTGAAAACATTAATTAGCATTAATAAGAATGAATGTACATTTAATTCAATTCATGAATGTTCAAGCATAAGTAATCACAGCCCATTCTCACCCCAAGGCGTCACGTACCTGACGCCTTGGGAAGCATTTGACCATGCTTCAATATCTGACGCTTTAGGCGCCCTTTAGCGTCAGTTAAATGACGCCCTAGGATCGCGTGTAACCCTACCCCAGACGTAATCAGCACTTTCTTAACCTGACGGCAACTCAGAAGCAGCTGCAGCACAACAATTATTCCATTTATTTGCTTTTTCTACCATGTTGACTTATAACAATTTTGTGTTGTATTTGTGCACTGCAGTATTATACTATATTATTATTTAAACTAAAACATTGCATGATTTATTTACTGTTTTAAGTTCAGTTCTACAACACATTTCACATCAGACTTTAAACAAAACAGTTCACAGATACATCATTTTAAAGGTTAGAAGCCTAAACATATTACAGAAATAAATTATAAAAAATAAAATAAAATGCCTTAATACTTTTATTTCATAGTAAAAAAAATATTAATGTATTTCTATGAGTATTAAGTATTAAGAGTATAATAATAATGAACTAATATTATAATTTTATTTTAGCAGATACAGAGGTTTTTAGGCATGTAAATTTTAGTTGATGCAAACAAAAGCATGTAAAATCATTATTTACTGACTTTTCCTTGGTACAGAGTCAGATTCATTGAGTGTAATTTTTGTGAATTTTCTGAGAGCAACCAGTTATGTAGATTATAGTTATTTAATTAAAATTCAAAACTAATGTGAAACTAAAAGTGAATTTGTCTTCTGTTATAGAATGAACATCCTAAAAGCGTCCATGTTTTGTCAGTGTTCAGTGGTCGATCACTATAATGGGTAAATGAGGAATCCACTGAAAGTGCTGAGGTTTCCTGGACTGTCATAGATGGTGTAACCTGGGAGGAGCTTCATGCAAATGACATCACCCACTTCCAGCTGCAAGACAGCTCCATTTGATGCATATCGGTGCTGATTGTGATAAAGCCATTGTCCCACTGACACAATATTCTGACCATTTTTATATAAATTTGCACCCATTGACTGGTAGATTTGAATACCACATATAGTGAATCTGAAGAAGTAGACTCCTTTAACTGGTGCCGTGAAGAAACCTGCCATTGACAACATAACCGTCAGATCAAATGTAAAATGGGTCTGATGAAAAGGAAAGACATTGGCGCTTATACCTGTTGTTGAGTTGTAGTTGTTTCCAATGTTTGTGAAGACATTGTTGAATGCCAGTGTGATCTCAGTAGTCTTGGGACCTTCATTGCCACGGATCCCCAAGTCAGCTGAAAATGCCACTTTAGGTTGTTCTGTGGACAAGCCCAAATTAAAAACACGAGTTCAGGGTTATATTTATCGTGCATTAAATACTGACTGTAAATACCTTAAATGTTTGAATAAAAAGGACAGTTTTATTTGTTTACCTGCACTTTTTTTCTTTAACGCTTCCAGCTGGGTTTCACTGACCTTCATGTGTTCATTTAGCCCTAAAATTATTCAAATTCTTAATTCTAGCTGAAAATATGTATTTAATATCACCCCCCCCCCCACACACACACACACACACACACACCACATATCAAGCTTCTTGATAAGGCTTTTCAATTTTTTTTGAGTACCTGCATTCTCTTTCTTCAGATCCAGTATTTGTTCTGCCATTTCTAGAAAACATTATGAGTCTATTTATGAATTATTTAATGTTGTTTTGTATTAGTGTTTATTGAATATGCTATTTCAAAGATAAGAAAAAGAAACTACTAACTTGAATTGTCATTCATCACCATTTCCAACTTGACTCTGAGCTCCACCATCATGTCTCTTATATCTCTCACCTCTTCCCAGATGTTTGGCAGGATGTTTTCTTCTTGCACATCAGTTTGTCCATTAGTGAGTGACAGACAGCACAGCATCAGCAGAGCAATACTCACCTTCATCCTGATAGTCAGAAGACAGAAACTCTTGGGTTTATGAAAGCAACGCATAGCTTTTATACTTTGAGGTAGTTAATCATTATAATTTATTATTGACTCAGATTTTTTTTGCATCCAATTAAATTGCAGAAAGGAACAGGAAGGGTAAAGTTCTGTTTCTTAAAAAGGGCTTCTGAGTTTGTAACTGCTAAATTCTACAGACTAAGTAAAAGTGTTATGGTGTGGGTTTTGTGTCTTGTTCCATGTTCTTGTCTGTTATAAAAATATAGATATAATATTTCTCTTTTCCTATTTGTTTTCTTTCCATTTAAATTTCACAAAAAAACAACAACAAACAAATAGACCTATTGTAATTGGCTTTATCAAAATGTAAATGTATTATTCAATATTACAGACGCAGGGTCCAGTTTTTAAAACACATAACCAAAAAATAAATAAATAATAATAAATAAAACACACACTCAGAGAGACAAACACTTTTTTTGTCGTTTTTTTTTGTCTTTTTTTGATTTCTGAATGTTAATCATTACTACTGTACTATATTGACACATGTGTTTCTCATCTGTGTCAATACAAATAAATAGGCTAATCAAAATGAATCCAAAGTCTAGAAGTTCTGTTTGTTTCTTGAGTTTCTGTCTGGATGAATTCAAATAAATTTTGAAATGAAAGTAAAAAAATGATATAGTGTAACATAAGAAGCAGAGATTTAGAAATAAATCAAAGTCATTATAAAATGAAAACAATTTTAAAAGGACCCTGAGCAGGAATAATGGTTTAATACCACTAGATGTCGCCCTTTAACTACAAATGATAGTCAGTTTGTCACTGTTGGGAGCTTGGGATTGGCAGAAGATGTATCGGATGATTTTAACACTTATCTTGTAATTACTTAAGATATTATTTGTTTGATTTACAGTTGTGATTTGCCCTTGTTTTAAATGAAAATGAATTAGGTTAAATTACAACTTGCTATTAACTTGGAATATAAACTAGATTCCTTAAAACAGTCTTTTAAAATATATATTCAATTATTAATATCAAAAAGCTCTTAGATTTCATCAAAAATATCATAATTTTTGTTCCGAAGATGATCGAAAGACATTTTTGGGTGAACTTTCCCTTTAAGCTCCAAAGTCATTCAAACACAAAGCCTGCAGGTTTTAGTTGCAGGCCATTTCATGAAATGGGAATATAGCTCTAGGCCACACTTGACTGTTTGGCTATTATCAGTTCTGTCAAACGTAGATAAAAAGAGTGTGCCTAATGCTGTGCTACAGTGCTGGTGTCAGTGCTGCAGTCAAGTGCACTTTTTTGCCTGCCTGATGCCCTTGAGAATCAAGCACAGCTCTTTAAAATGCAGCGAGTGTTGCCAGGACTAGACTGCAGCAAAATACTTTAAAACTCGTTATGTTTCTTCATTATGTGTCCCATTTTATTTCTTTGGAATGGAAAGGGCTGCTTATTTTGTTTGTTTACCTTTTTTTAAATTAAAATAACTTCATATTCTTTCTACTTAAAAAAACTTTTAGACAGACAGAGAGCTGAGAGAGAGAGAGAGAGAGAGAGAGAGAGAGAGAGAGAGAGAGAGAGGAGAAAGACATATAATATTTGCACAACCTTTGGATTTCCAATGCAATTCTTTTGATGTGTTCCTCTAACCTAATCAAAACCAAAATGGCAGATTGAAGCTTTAACCTTCTGTTAAATCACAAAGTAGCAATGGCCAAAGAAAGATGTACCATTGGTTTCACAGATGTGAATATATATGTAAATAATTACTGAAACAAACATATAAGTTTGAAGTGTATAGGAAAAAAATGACAGCATATTAAGTTGGCAACAACAAATTTGTTTCCAGGACTTTAGGTTATCGGCCATAGAAAATGATCATATGCCATTCAGTCTAATTTTTGAAGAGTTTGGAAAACTTTCTGCTTGATATTTGTAATAGCATTAATTTTACAGACTTTAGTACCATATTTTAAAGATGTTGGGTTTAAAATAGTCTTCATGTTGTTAGGTGAATGGAAAATAATAAAATAACATTTATTATTAGAAGAAGAAGAAGATTGCAATATTTTATCATTGTGACTTTACAGTCACAACTCTTCTTAATTGTATATTTCCTGTTCTTTCCTAAATGTTGTGATCATATCAAAACTGTATCGATATAAAAGTCATTTGGGAAGGATAGTAGGTATTATTGAAAAGATTTTAAATAGTAATCGAAAATATATCAATAGGCTGTATTGGAATAAATAAATACATGTGTCAGACTGGTTTGCATTTTTTTGTGTGAATATTTCATTAACTTAATATATATTTTGCGCTGTTTTTAACACAAAAAACCTAGAATTCTATTCAAAATAAAATATCCACTTGTAGTTACACAACTCAGACAGCAGATGTGCGCAAGTGAGCCACTCTGAAACCCCTCCTCCTGGGCGGATCTTCCCTGGTTAGACCCTCCCGCTTCCCGTCAGATATCCTCCCATTTTCTCCCCCTTCTCAAGGCCCCACCCGACCATCTGCCAAAGGCCCGACATTTCCTGCACTCCAGCTGCCAGCCCCGACTTTATTCTCTTCCTGCTTTTCTGCAACTAACAGGATGAACGGGTCCCATTCATCCATCGCCCCCCTCCCTCCTCCTTTCCTTTATTCAATCTCCCGGGAAACAAGCAACTTTGAGGCAAAAGAGAATGCCGCACAAACACGCATGCTGTTCTAAAGGTATTGTTTGAGTTTTAAAGTTTAAAGGGACACAATGCAAACACTTTTGACTCATGGAAAACAGAGTTTTTTGTCAAACCACAACGACAGAACAACATGAAAAATGAGATAGTTTGGTTATTGAGGAGTTAATACAAGATGGACCAGGTTTTCTTCACATTATGTTGAAATTCTAGGTCAGGCCCACCCCCTCACTTTTGGCATCCAGAGTAAGTCCACTGCTCAAGACCTTTTAAGGGAAGAAAAGAGTGAGATAGAAACTTGAGCACAGCACAGACAGAACTTATAATATTACACATTAACTCGGTGTGGATGAAAACACAGAAGCGAATGTAACAAGCAAATGTGTCTCTTTCGTGCCGTCATACAGATGGAATGTCCATGTTATCTGCTGTTGTATGTGTCCTTGAGAAGGACAAAAGTGAAAAACTGTCCTGTGAGCAAAGCTTTGCTGCACATACACTGCTTTAGTCTTTTCTTGTTTTGAGTGTAGCTACATGTGATGATTATTAGTGTCTTCTGATGTCTGGAATGATCATGTGGTTCTAGTTTATACCAGTGTTGAAATTCAATTAGTTTGGCATTTTTCTTCTGTTTGTCGTTCCCTCCATCTTTTTAGCAGTCAGTAGGGGGAGCTATTGAACTATGGATGAAGGATGTTTGTGTGTCCCCCCAGGAAAGTTTCAGCCATGTCACAGATGTTTATAACTTAAAACTCTTATCCTCTATGTTAATAATATACCACATAGTTTCATCAAGTGAGAGATATTTTATTCCAAAATCATTCATTATTCTGTCCAACCCCTCCCCCCATTTGAGTCATGCTTAGTCACTCACTGACAGGCACACTGGCACATATTTGGCTTGGAAGAATGAAAGAAGGGAGGTTTAAGGGGGGCTCTAAAAGGGACAGACATGTTGACTACCAAGGAACTTTGTGGATTAGTAAATTCGGCCATCTGTCTCATTCTCTCTTTCAACTGTTTTGTGTGTGTGTGTATCAAAAACAGAGAAAGAGCCCACTCCGTATCTCTCACTTTCTGTTATGTATAAATATAAAAGACTTAAAAATCTGTTTGTTTTTTTAACGAAATATATATATATATATATAAGATCAATATTTTTACTCATTCTTGCTATTTTTGCTCACCAAGGCTGCCTTTGTTAAATCAAAAACAGCACAGTAAACAATAATATTGTGAAATATTATTACTATATATATATATATATAAACAAACTGATTTATATTTGCCTATAATTCATTTCTGTGATGGCAAAACTGAATTCTTAGCTTACTCCAGTTTACAGTGTCACACAATCCCTCAGAAATCATTATGCAAAGTCTCTTTTTCTTATATGTAGGCCTATACACATCATATAAATATATAAATTCATGTGGGTAAATGAGAGAGAAAAGCCATCTATGACCTCATTCTGTCCATAGATCTTACAGAGAGAGAGAGAGATTACAGAGCATGATAATCATAAGCATTGCATTTTATTTTTAAAAATAATTGCTGTCTTGTTCCTCACAGGACATGCATTCCAGTGGTCTCCCATTCATTCTCTCTCTCTTTCTCTGTGTGTGTGTATGTGTGAGGAAGAGATAGAGTGGTGGGGACCCCCTTAGTAAGAATGCCAATAGATGCAGCTGCTTGTTTGACCCCTCTAATGTCAGGTTATTCCTGGAACAGCTGTCAGATTGTGTCTGGGTGAGTGTGGGTGAATTGTCAAAAGGAAACTACTGGAATAGAATAAAAAGTGCTGGTCTTTTGTGCTCTTATGCAAAGTAGCGTTTTGCTTTTGGTAAACGCACCATGTGTAGGCCTCATCACATGTCTTAAAAGGTTAGTTCGTCATCGTAAGGAGGAAGGAAAAATCATTTCCTCCTAATGCTGTTCCAAAACTGTATGACTTAGCTTTTTTGTTTTTCTTGTTTTTCCTGTGGAATACAAAGGAATTATTTTGGGAAATGTACCAGTTTTTTGTTTTCCATACTATGTTATTTGGGTCTCCAACATTCTTCAAAATATCTTCTTTTGTGTATCTTTATTTTTGTGTGAACTATACCTTTAAGTAGCTAATTTTTAAAATATTCGTTACATGTGTTGTGAGTTGGACTAAACAAAACCTGAATGCTCCTATAAGCATTTTGGTCTCATGTAAATCAGCCTCCATTTGTTCTCCATCAGGATTCGAATAAGTGTTTGCATTCATGGTCGCATATTTTGCAAATGTGCAAATAAAAAACACTATTTGCATTCACAATGTTGAGCCCAGCTTTGTTAGAAGAGGTTTAGGCCT